TCTCCACATTAATACCCATGCTAGAAGTCGTAATTAAAACTAATTGCTGTCTTCTGTTGGGCCAAGACTCCAAAGTGGGCAAGCTCTATCCTTTGCTTACTGCTTCATTGTCTTTACAGCAACACTTGAAAAATAAGGCCCTCAGTTATGAAAAGCTATTTTCCTCCACTCATGATTAAGAATGATGCTACAAGTGTTAAAGAATTACTGAACTTAGACATATCCATTCTGCTGCTTTTGCAGTTGTTTGCATTTGATTTCAGAGTGTGGAGTCAATAAATTGTATAAAAGCAGTTAAATATGTCAACATATTTGTAGTTATTGAGTCTAATTGATCATTAGTTTTGATCCTTTTAGTTAAAATTGAAAACAAGATTAAAAACAGATTTCATGTTGATGCTCTCCCAAGACAAACGTTATCTCACTAAGGAATTACCATCTTCTCTCTTTCAGTCACTACTGTGAAAGGGCTGAACTGATTTTCTGGATTTTTTTAATGATATATGTACCACTTGTCTTGTGATAACTTTTGCAGCTGTCAGGAAGTTTAACCCTTCCTCTCCAGAATTTTAAATCCATGGTCTAATGAGGGATAATAGTATGGTCTAAAAACACATGTAAGTTCATTAGACAGTCTTGCTTGAAGCATTTTTTATTTTTGCATATAACATGCCCTGCAGATTATGAATCTTAAGTATGTGCAATGGTTCTTTTGCAATCAATCCATGATCCATGCTGCTAAATCCCATACAATAATCAAAATGGTTTCAATAGCAACTGTCACAGTAAGTGTCATTGATGAATGACATAGCCATAATATAAAGGCTTTCAGGAAGCACCTTTACAAATTTTCTGATCCCCAGAATGTTTTCAGTTCGCTTGTCATCTTTATTTTTTCAACTATAAAAGCCAAAGCTTTAAAAGAAAACAGTGAAAAGGCAGCTACACAAGCATGCTCTGCTTAATGTCTTCTAGGCTTCTGGCAGCTCAGATCAAAACAAGCCCAGCCTTACCTACAGCTGGATCTGGCCCTACACATCCATCCTAGCCCACCTGTGTCAGCAGATTGAGCGCTCATCTGGCTGGAGGCTGTCCCCCAAGGGCCACCCAGCAGGAGATGTGGCCAGGAACTGCGAGAGGGAGAGCACAGTCTTGGCAGAGCAGGGCAAGCCCCACAAATCTTCCTTGGAACTAACTCTGATTCCCAGCTACAGCTAAGTGCAGTTATAAGCCACTTCTACTGCATATTGTCATGAAAAACAAAGAAAGGGAGAAAGAAAAGCAAAGGAGAAGAAAAAAATAAAACAAAGGAATCTGCAGCTTGCAAATATTTCAGTTTTTAATAAAATTAAAGTTTTAATAAAATTAAATTTTATATTTATATTTATATAAATTTTATATTTATATTTATATAAATTTTAATAAAATTAAAAGTTTTTAATATTTCAGTCTGTAGGCTCATCCCAAACTCCTGATGATCTGAATCCTTCTACCTCTCCTCCCCTCTCCCTACATGTCAAAGTTTGTCCCACTTCCAAGAGCTATGTACCCTTCCCCAGCCCTTGGCAAAAAACAGTGCACAAGAAGACAAAAATGGGGGAGCTGCCATGCTGTGCTTTGGGTATGAGTGCCTAGCATTGCAATGGGGTGGTAAGAGGCAGTGACCTATAGTGGATATGCCAAATAATATTCCAAATAAGCATTCATCTGTCTTTAACTATGAGGCACCTGTTCATTCAGAGGATTAAGGCATATGTTTGTATCCCTCTGCGTTGCTAGACTTCTTCTGTGAGTGTTGGCACAGAAATGCAGGCTAGAATTTTCACCTTCAGATTGGAGCTATTTTTGTTGTATCAGTGAAAAAGACCAAATTACAAACAGCCAGCTAAGAGTACAGAAGCATAATTTCCACCATCAAATTAAAAAAGGTTTAGTCAGACATGACAAAAAGCATTTTATGTGAGCTTCATGAACATGTTCAGAAGAAAGGATGGATTTTCAACGAACTGAAAAGGGACACATTAAAAGCAAATGTAATGAAGCTTTGCTGCTCTGGTATTGTATAGCATCCTGAAGGGATCTTTCATGTCACTGGGGTAGAGAGCAGTGCTTCTCTTGAAGCATTTCCCTAGACAGCCTCAGGAAATCAAGCTGTGACACACATCTGGATAGCTCTATACACAAATGGCATCGCATTTAGAGATGGAGTTGGCACAGAAAAAAATCAGAGTCCATGCACCATTACGCATTTCTGCAAATTCTCAGTTCAACAAGAGCCATAAGCAGACTGAACAGCTTTGTCAGCAAGTGAATATTTTTCCATGCCACAGACCATCAGACAAAAAAACCTTACCTGGAGAACCATCTACAGGACAGCTGGCTAATATTTTACCATTTTGAAGAAGATATAAAATCACAAATCTTAAAAAAGCACAGTAGGAAATGTGAAGCATGGCATGATCCAGTGTTTTCACTAAAATAATAGGTGTGGAAGATTCAGAGAAATCAGAACAGCTATAAAATTTGTCAGACTGGAAGTATTTAAGCAGCTGAAAGGGTTATTCATACAAATTAGTTGCTGCTTTACTGTTTATCCCTAAAGGAAGAAAGGTTTCATAACTTTGTGGGAGAAGCTGTATTGCTCCAAGGCTGCAATACACATCTTTTTCAGTCTGTTTTGTGAGAGGAGTTCTAATTGACAGCGGGATGGGACTCTAGCCTGCTTTATGGAAGACTGATTTAAGTGCTGTAGGTTATATGGTGTTGCAGTTAGATAAGGCTGCTCCTTGCAGGAAGCCAAAGTTCACAGAGTTCAAGGGTTGCTTCAAGTCGACATTGTTTTTACAAGTTGGGGAAAATCTGCTTGTTAAAATAGAATTTTTTTTTTCCACTGAAACACAGAAGCACAAGATAGTTAGAAGCTGTCTTCCTGTCTCTGAGATCTTTTTCTGGGCTTTTCAGGGTTGGAAAGAAAAAAAAGTCATTTGTTCTTGGCTACCTTTCTGAGGCCACACACATATTCTGCCTGTCCAGTTGCCTCCTTGGTTTGTGCTTCTTTCCACCCACAAGCTAATGCAAAGCTTCAACCAAATCAATGCCCCGTTTCCTGGTTTTGCAACCAATTTCCAGTGAAATCCCTCTAGCCACATGGCTGAGCTTCCAATCCAGCCTTCCTATATTGTGTTGCACCTTGGGCGGTGGCTTGGCTTGTTTCAATTACCACCAAATAAATGAGGCTTTAATTCCTCTTTCATTTCATCTAAAAGAAAGATGATCAGCATGCCCTTCCACTTCAGTGTGGTCTGGGATTGTCCAGATTTCACACTTGCAGGCAGCCACCAGTTCTGCCCAAAAATACAATATGCCTCCTGCATATTCACGTCAACCAGACCGAGGACAGATGTTTCTCTGGTTTTACTGCACTTTTGGCCCAGACTGATGAGCCATTTTAAGGGAGAATGGCCAATCTGCAGTACTGCCATCTCCTTCACTTTGTAATTTGTTTTAATTTGAAACACGGGAGTGTATGTGTTCCATCCCAAACTTTGAAAAGAAGCGTTTTCATTTCAAACTAAAGAATATACATACTTGGCAGCACTAACCGGGAGATCCATGTGGACTTATTTATTCTTCAGATTAACTCAGAAATAAATTTGATGGCAATGGATGAAAAAAATGCTCTTTATTTTACAAGCATAATATGGTTTTAATACGCTGGCATGTTGTTAATGATGCGTAACATATTTCCGTTCATCAAAGTCAGAAAATGGAATTGCAGTGGAGCCATTTGCTGTTTTCTCATTGAGAAGTAGGAAGAATGTGCTCTGTGCGGTATCTGAATTACTCACAGAATCACAGAAAGGCTGAGGCTGGAAAGGACCTCTGGAGGTCACCTTGTCCAACCCCCTTGCTCGAGCAGGGACACCTACAGCAGATTGCCCAAGGCCCTGTCCAGATGGCTTCTAAATATTTTCAAGGAGGGAGACTCCACAACCTTTCTGGGCAACCTGTGCCAGTATTTGACTGCCATGACTGTAAAAAACGGTGGTTTTTTTTGTTTTCAGGAATTCTTTGTGATTTAATTTGTGTCAGCTGCCTCTTGTGCTGGCACTGAGAATCACTGAAGAGGCCTGTCTGTCTCATCTTTATTCCTTCCCATCAGGTATTGACATACATATGTAAGATGCCCTTTCTCTTCACCAGACTGAGCACTCTGAGCCTCTCCTCCCACCTCAGAAACTCAGATGCATTAGTGATCTTTAGGGCCATTAGCTGGACCTCCCTGCAGTACATTTGTATCTTTCCTGTTCTGGGGATCCCAGAGCTGGACCCCAAACTCCAGCTGTGGTCTCACCAGTGCTGAGCAGAGGGCAAGGATCACTGTCCTTTACCCGCTGGCAACTCTCCTCGTCATGCTGCCCAAGGTGCTGCTGACCATCTTTGTGACAAGGGCCAGTTGCTGCAATGAAGATCACATCACTGGCTGGTAATCAGCTGCTCATACATCAGAACCTCCAGGCCCTTCTCTGCTCATTAATCAGAACCTCCAGTCCCATCAGAACCTCCAGGCTGATCCAGCTGATCAGCACCCAGCCTGTACTGGTGCTTGGGGTTGATCCTCCCTAGTTACAACACTTCGCTATTTCTTTTTACTGAAGTACATGAGATCCTTTCCTGTCCATTTCTCCAGCCTGTCAGGGTCCCTCTGGGTAGCCACACAACCTTCTGTGGTACCTGCCTCTCCTCCCAGCTTTGTCTCATCTGCAAAGTTGCATTCTGCCCCATCATCCCGATCATTAATGAAGAGGTTACGGGGCGCTCCGGCACCAAACACTGAGCCCTTGTGTGCACTGCTAGGGACTTGTCCTCAACTGCCATTGACCACCCCACTCTGCATCTGGTCACTCAGACAGTTTTCAGTCCACCTTAATGTCCTTTTGCCTAAAGTATATATTGACAGCTTATTTATGAGGGTTCTTACAGGAAATAATGTCAAATGCCTTTATTATCTTGAAATGTTCCAGGATAAAGCAGTGTCCACTGCTCTGTCTTCATCCACTGAGCAGGTCACCTCATTGCAGAAATCTGTCAGTCCACTTAAAATGTCAAATAATGTATTTCTTGCTATTCTTTTTAGGGGTCAAGCTTCGGAGGCTGAAAAAGCAGCATTTCATGACATTATGACAAGATCATAATTCACAATATTTAAAGTCTTTTCTGTACAATTTGATATATATGTGCTATAGATTGTTATTATTATAAAATTAATTGAAATTATTCACTAAATTACAAGACAATCAATAAATAAAAGCTCAGGAGACATAGAAATGGCTTTTTCATTTGCAATTTTAAAACAGAAAATGACATTTTCTTATCAGCAGTGAAAAATTGCTCTCCTGACATGGGCAAAGAATGATTCTAAAGTAAATTCCTTTGACTGAATGAAAATATGGTGTGGGTTGAATTTAAAATTTTAAACAGCATGATGTGGACATGCAATTATAGTCACAGATAGCAATAAACGACCAGTTACATCATCTGGTCAAGTCCCTTGCCAATGCTAAATCGAATTTTGCATGCAGTTCTTATTTTTTTTAGGCAGTTTGGACACATTCAGTAAATGTGATAAATACACTTTAAAATAAAAGTTATTTTGCAGTGTGTCAGAAGCCTGGAGAGAGAGGAAGAGAGAGAAAGAGAAGTATCACTTCAAAGTACTCACTGTTGATACATCAGGTTAGTCTCCTTTCAGCTTTACAAGAAAAAGCTGACAAGCTTTAAAGGAGGCCTCAGTGCACAAAGAAATCGATGGTAAAGTGCACATTGATTTCAATAAATCTCTTTCAGTCACCAAACCGTATATTAGCTGGGGAACGGATGCGGCCTCTTCCTGTCTTTCTGTCTTTAAACATCATGTGCGCTGATGATGGTGTAAAAATAAAGCTGGGGATAGCTCTAATCTCAGGTAATAATGGTTTCCAATTTGAAAGCAATCCTCAGGGACTGGCAAATTATAACAAACACTGCCCTGGCCCCTCTAACAAACCCCAATTTAAAATGACCAGGCAGGGACAAAGCTGCTTCTGTGGTGTAGAGTTTCCTTTACTGGAAACGGAGCATTTGAACAAGAGCTCTTGGATTTTGCTGTAAGCAGGTGAGTTGTCACACCAGGATAACTTTTCAGGAACCTATTGCCATGGCACAGCAGTGAGGATCAGTGCCATGGTGGAAGGTCTGCAGGATGCCCCTGGGGCCAGAGGATGCCAATAGCCAGTGCTGCTGGCTGATGTGCCAGTGATGGTGGGGACGCAGGAAGGTCTTTCTGCAAAGAAAACACTGTCTGCATGGTATATTACTATAGTAATCATTGCCACTTTTATGTGAACCTAAACCTGATTGCAAATCTACACCTCTGGCCTCACCCTCAGAGCACAGATCTCAGGAAAATATTGGACTCCTCCTTCAGAATATGAAGTTCAGTTGCTGCCAGCCCCTCTCCCACCACTTGATCTCCCAGAAGTGTGTTAATAAGCAGTGGCAGATTAAGCATTATAAACTGGGTTCATTTAAAGTAAAAAAAACCCAGCACTGCCACACAAATAATACAGAGGGACTATTAAAGTTTGTAAATATGAGGCCAGCCCACACTAGGAACTGCTGAAATGTGTGGAAATAATGATGCTCCCTGGTGCAAATGGCTCTTTAGAGTGATGCTGCAAAGTCTTACCTTCATTCATCACCCTGTGCTCTGTGCTTCCCTGAGCCAGCCCCCTGGGACATCCTGCATTCATATCATGGTCAGACATGAGCATCCTCTCTGTCGCCAGGTTTCAACTTTTTATCACCTATTACCACAAGTTGTCATGTCAGGTTACTGTAAATCAGATTAACATTCCTCTAATGCAGACTTTGCAGGGAATACTTGGCAGGGGAACTTCAGAGAGGGGTGCTTAGGATGGTAATTTTAGTAAGGAGAGACTCCTATACAATGTGCTAAATGCATTAACCACAGTATAAGCAAAAAAAAAATAAATACTTAGAGCTGTTAAATCCTATTAAGTAACAATGTAACAAATGTATGTAAGCCACCTCCTGAAATGTGGCTTTGGAAATAGGAGCAGAAAGCACCAGAGGAGGGTCAGCGTGATTTATTTCTGTTTTACCTGCCCCAGAACACCCTCATTTCCTGATGAACACAATGACTTGGCACAACTTGAAGCCCAGCAAGTCAGATTTCTCTCAGCAGACATCCTGATCACTCCAATAGATATTTTAGGAACTCACCATTAGTTCCTTTAATTAATGCCTCTCCGACAGGGACTGGCGCGGCCTTTCCCCACATCAGCAGAACAAAACACGCTTCAGCCATTTTGTCCCAGGGCTGGGCAGTCACTTATGAATTACCTGAAGCCAGTTCCCCTAAAGTCCCAGGTACCTGCTGCCACCCTGGAAAAGCACCAGCCTTCCCAAACATAGCACTCACTTTATAGCACTTGATCTACACATGTGGCTCCTTCCTAGAGCCCACCTCGACCTTAGCAGAGATAAGAAACCCCTTATACTGTTGGGTGCGCTGTCAGCCCTTTCCTCAGTAACCAGTGGAAATCTGTGTGGCAGGACAAAGCCGCTTTCCTGCTCACAGCATCACTGCTTGCCTCGCAGCCCTGCTCCTGCTGGGCAGCCCGGCCTCACCGTTCCCAGCTGGAGCCGTGTCTCTGCTGACATCACCGGATTCCTGCTGAAGCATCAGCCGGGGTCGTGTCCCAACTCACTCACCTCGTCCTGTGCACCCCTTGCATATCAATTTGCAAAGCTGTAAAAGTCAATAGCTGTACATAGATCCACAGTTTTTAAAAAAAAAAAAAATAATAATAATAAAAAAAAAAAAGCAGACGCCCAGGAAATTTGCTTGCCACACAACTCCCGTAAATAGCAGGATGTTCTCGCTGAGCCGACCTAAGCATAACTTATCACAGAAAATTATCTCATGTGCTGAACAAAAATTTCCCCATCGGAACTTCAACCTTTGCCACTGGCAGCTGGCACACCGCGCCCCGCCTCCCAAGAAGCTCTCCCCCACGGGTATCCTTTGAACTCTTAAGACTGCATGTGATGGATCTCAGCGATCGCTTGTGCTGTGGGCAAACTTCAGGCGGAGGTGGCGGCAGGGGCTGCTGGCCGCACGCCAAGGGATGCCACAGCCCCTCCTGCCGCCGCCTTGCACCGCGGCCCGTGGGACACAGCCCTGCCTTCCCTGCTGTCCAGCAGAGGGATTTGCTGGCCACTGCCTAGCCAGCAGGCTTTCTAAATGCAGCAATTCTGCCTGCCTCCCACGGGGGATAAATCAGCCTCGGCGCGATTTACAGACCTTGGCAGGGTCAGGTATAATCTTGGTGTTAATGACTTAGGCATGACACCCAAAGCTCCTGGGCTGGGAACAGTCTTCCACTTGTCTGGGAGGACATCTCACTAGCGTTTTGCCAAAGTCAGCTGAGAGTGGTTCTGGTTCTTCCCCGGTAAGCTTTGCTCCAGGAAATTCTCACTTCTGTATGGGTAATCTCATCACCTCCAAACGTGGCCGAAAATTTCCCGTCCTGAGACAGCTGTATTCTCAGGAACTGCAACCTCACTTCCCCAGAATTTCAGGGTGGTTGCTCCCACATCTAAGGGGGAATTTCCTCTATTTGGAAACTGCTTTTTCAAACTCCCAGCAGCGCAGCTGCATTCTTGTTTCTGTCCCACAGCTCCCAAAGCTGTCCTTCTGTGTGTCTAGAGTGCACTTGTGAAGGGGCTACCTATAACTTAAAGAGAAAAACAAAAGAGTACGAAAAAGCCAGAAATTGCTGCAAGTTGTTGAGGGAAGCAGGCTGAAAGGACGAGGTGCTCAGGTTTGTTTCGTTTTGGGTTTTTTTTGCGAGCAGTATTGCTCGGGAAGCCCTACCAGCCCTATCCTCCAGCTGTTGCACAGAAGTTTGTGGTTTCCCTGGATCTGTCACGGACCACTCACCCTGTGACATCCTGCCTGAGCTGCCGCCGCCTGCTCGGGGCATTAGTGACCGTGTTCAGACGGTTCAGACCGGGCGGCAGTGCCCGCATCAAAGCCTCTCAGCGCCTGCTGCGGCAAAGAGCTCCGCTTAAGCCTAACAGCACAAACCATTGCCATAAAGTAACCTCACAAACCCGCTTTTACTACTTGCCTTCTTCCCCCAGAAAAGGAAAGAAAAAACCCCAAGAAACAAAAAACCAAAAAAGCAAACCACAGCAGGCACAGTGGTGGGGGTGGCAAGAGGGGCTGATGCCCCGCACGACTCCTCAGCTGCCCGGGCCGGAG